ATATATATATATATATATATATATATATATATATAGTTTTAAAAAAATTGTTTTTTAGGGTGCTGTGGCATTAGTCACGGGAGGTGCATCAGGTTTAGGATTTGGCACTGTACGACACCTAATTGAACATGGAGCAAAAGTTGCCATTATGGATTTGCGGCAATCTAATGGTGAGGCTCTGGCGAAGGATATGGGCCAAAATTGTTTTTTTGCTGCAGCTGATGTAAAATTTTTCAATCTGAGACGCTGGTTTTCTTAAATTTCGTTACCTAAGCCAATAAGAGCATCGATAGTTAAGTATCATTTCAAGATGCATTGAGCTGTTAGTTCAAACGAGTGCATATCACCGTATCAAATTGTTATGATAGGTGAAATCTCTAGAAATATCGTTATTCACAGGTAATTGTGATGCAAGACTAGCTCACAGTAAACTTTATAGTTTACAGTTCTCTGAATGATGCAAGAAAATAAATATTGCAGGTAAGGTCATCAGATGAGGTATCGAATGCGTTTCAGTCCTTAACAGATAAATTCGGACCACTTGATGTTGTTGTGAATTGTGCTGGTGTATCATTTCCATTCAAACTATATAATTTGCAAAAGAAAAAAGCTTGTGATGCAGATTTGATTCGCGAAACATTTGATGTTATGATTTTATTGTTCATTGTTGACTTTAAATTTATTAGATATTCCTGCAGTTTTCAGATATTTCTGCACTTACATAATTAAGTTTTTTTTTTACAGTAAAAAGTTTCATCTATAGTCCTTTTTTAATTCAAATTTATTAATTCGATTAGTTTTAGGTAAACGTTTTGGGTACTTTTAACGTTATTCAGCAGGCTCTCGAAACATTTGCTTTGAAGAGCAAGGATAGTTTCGGTTTTCGTGGAGTTATCATCAACACTGCTTCCATAGCAGCTTATGATGGACAAGTAGGACAGGTTGAAAAATTAATTTAATTTTTTTTCCTAAAAAATCTGTTGTGGAAAGTTAGCATGAGTAAGGTTGAATCGATCACAATTTGATTACTTATCTTTTGTATTTAAAAGCGATAGGAATTATCATGTGTAGCAAATTTTATATTTGCTGTTTTATTCTTTAAACATATACTGGAATCTCTGTATGTCTTGAATCTATCCATAGCCGGAGCTAAATATGGTGTATTGTTATAGAGTGCATATGCGGCATCCAAAGGAGCTATTGTAAGTTCAACACTTGCTTTCGCTCGTGATTATGCAGACGATGGAATACGTTTCATGACAATTGCACCTGGAATTTTTGACACTCCACTAATGAGTGGTCTTCCTGAAAAAGTAACAAATTGTGTATATTTGTTAAGGATTAGTTTAAATAAAGTTTTATTTCTGCATTACTAGAAGTTGCTAATTCAGGTACAGAGATTTCTTGCGGATATGGTCCCGCTCCCAAATAGATTGGGTAATTCCGAAGAATTTGGTGCCTTAGTGCGTCATATCATTGAGAACCGGTACTTGAATGGAGAAGTGATACGTCTTGATGGTGGTTTGCGAATGCCTCCTTAAAGCTTTAAGATATCTTAATATTTGTTCAAATTAAGTGGAGTGTAATCTATTAAAACTTGTTACCAGCTATAAGAAGGCTGTGTTTGAATCGACAAAATATTTTCAAGAAAACAGTATTTATAGCTTTCAGTCCATTCTCATTCAGTGAATCGCATGCACCTAATAATTCTCAAATTCCCTCAGATTTCGGACCACTTACTGAACATTAGCTCTTTTGTTTTTCGTGTTTGTTTTGTTTTGATCTAAATATGTTGGTTATTATGCGCTTATGTGTTCGTCTGTTTAGTATTTTAGAATAAATCATCAAAGGTTTTTTTTTTTGAAGCCAAGTTGTATTTGTCGAATATGTGTACTTCTGATCTCCGGAGAACGAAATAATTCAAGATCAGAGAGCTTATCCAATATGGTTTGTCATTTAAACCAGGTTAATTAAAATTGAGACAGTAATTTAAGTACTGAAAAGTTGGGAAGTATGCGGTCGTTTGTTATATATCGTATGGTTCGTAGTGAAGTACACATCATTGCTAGCATCTTTATGCCTTTTTGTGTTTGCAGAGAGTTCAACGAAGATGTCACATTCATCCACTGGTGGCAGAGCTATGCGTCGTTGTGTAGATTCTTCACTTCCTAGCAAAGATAAGGCAGCTGCTCTGTTCGACTCCGTATTTGCCAATCAACCAAAGCCGTCTACTTCGCTGAACAGATCTGATTGTCAACGGTGATTATGCTTTTTCAAATTCATGTTCTGCTGGTAATTGCCCCATATGTCTGTAAATGCTGTGTCTTTGAAGAGCAAACTGATGTAGTTATAGTTGTCATAATTAAAGTCGATAAAATTTCGAAGTTTGATGAACCCCTTTTATTTTGAATAGTTAAAAAGGGCAGAGAGCATCGAAATTCCAGTGACCTGTCAAGTTTTAATGCTTTAAATGCACTTGACCTCGATAGAATTTGTTTAGACCATCTGGGTTCACTTCTTTGAAATGTGATCAAACGCAGAGTAAGAAGGGCGCATCAAATCTACCGTGTGCTCCGTTTCATTCATCTACTGTTGCCATTCCACATTTTGCTGAAGTATTTTTTTTAGATAGTATAATTAAACACCATCAAGAACTTATTTATTAAGGATTTAGTAGTGCTATTTTCTTGTTAGAACCCTAAAGTTAGATCTTTTATTATGATTATATTCAATTTTTTTGTTCGTAAAATTGGTTACCCATACTGTGTTTTCTCTTTTCTAGTCTAGCAAAAGCGACATGGATGCAAGTAATGGTGATAAGATAATAGGACGTCGTTCGTCTACGCATTTACCGAGTGTTGCTATATCGCAGTCAACATCATTTATCAAAAAGTCTATTGGATCAGAAGGAATTCGAGAAAAAACTGAAACTTTTGTGAGTGAATCAAAAAGTAAACGTACAGATATCTTTTCTTTTGAGATGGAGGAGGAGGAAGATAATGATGATGCAAAAGACACTAATAAAATGGGGCCTCAGGCGAAGCGTTTGAAACCAGAAGAAGAATGTATAGGTGCACAAGGTGAAGTATTCATTAATTTTGCTTGTTATTTTGACTACTAAAGTGTTTTTGAAACATATTGAGTTTTCCTTATGAAAGTTTTTTTTTTACACGGAACGTCGAAATTTTTTTAGAAGTAAAAAATTCCGGAAGTAGTCATGCGCTGGCTGTCAAAGCTTCATACAGGCACAAGTGGTTGTTGGACGATGATGAAGATAAAGACGATTTTGCATCACATGTAAAACGAAAGGATGCAGTACTTCAGACTTCTGAAACAAACGTATCTAATATATTTCTGTATAAACTTTGTAATTCTGTGAAACTCGATAACTTGTTCTCGTATGTTGCTGTCTTTGCCTAATCGTTTAAAACCGTACATGAAGAAGTTTAACTTTGATTCTGTCGATCATTCAGGATAATGACGCGAGTGTTGCGATAATTCAGAACACTGTATCAAACGTATCAAACCAGGCAGAGAGGAGTGCTCTTGGTCGTATTTGGATCCCAGATGTTAAAGAAGCACATGAGTGCTTAAAATCTGGTGAAGAAGATGATTTTGTTCAAGATGTAAATTATATTTTTGGTACTCTCTTAGACCCGTCATCATCAAACAAATTGAAGTGTCTAAGGTGCTTTCTTTTAATTCAAATGTTCTTCCGCATTTAACTGGTTTGGTGATTCCTGCAAGTCGTGCTTTTGAATCTAAGTATCATCTAATGGAAGAATTTGTAATACGAGTGATTAGTCATACTCCAAGATAAAGATCTGTCGACCTTTACAAATTTTTTAAAATTCAGTGTCATTACTCTACTCAAGAAGTGCGTTTCGTCTGAGTTCCGGGGGTTTTTTCGCTCTAATAATTTGCTTAATCGTACGCTCAAAGCAATTCCAGATCTATCAAAAATACCGGTATTTCTCAAAATTTTTAAGTTTTTCTTTTTTCTCTATGGAGTAATTATTTATAAGTGCATCTTAATGTGTAAACAGTTTTGCATGTATACTTTAGCAAACAAGTTTAAAGTTTCTATAGTGTTCTATGATGCATTTCTAAGGAAACATACATCCAGTTTTCGTGGTGTGAAATTTAGCTGTTGAAATTTAGGGCTTGGCACTATGCATTTCGGCAGTCGTTTATTTGCTTTCTCGAGATAGCACTTCCGTATTTGTAGACGAACCATCTCTACGTTTGTTCAGTCAGCTCTTGAAAATGGAGCAACAAAATTTACCTGTTGAATCTATCGGTTATCCGAAACTAGTGAGTTAAAATTTGAAAATCATGTTGCTATAACATCTCTTTTTCTAATCTGATCCCCGAAGGTATCAGACATAGATTTTTTTTTTAATAAATTTGTTTGCATTAACTTTTATAATAAGGTTAGGTATCTGCAAGATATATTTGTTCATGTCTCATGATCTGCATAAGTGAATTTAGATAATGGATACTCTAAAAGATTGGTTGAATAAATCTTTTTCAAATGTAGACGCAATAAAAGTTCAATTCGACATCACAGAGGAAACTTTGACTGTAAGATATTTTTTTGTTGTAACTAAAGCTTAAATCATCTTGCACGTAATATTTAATTTGTTTTCAGCCCTCATTTTTAATTCTGGAATCACTTGTTTACATATGTGCTCGGAAACATCGGGAACATTTGGTTCAAAATGAACTTTTAAATGTAGGCATCTTACAATGGATCGTTTATAAAAGTATAGTTTCTGCTTAGTCTGTTCCTCGTTTGTATCACTAATTTAAAATGACTAGTTATGTACAATATCAAAATTTTTGTAGTTTGTAGATTGAAAACCAAAACTTCCTCTATCGTGCTAGATTTTTTGCATTTATTTGTGTTTTAAATATAAAGTTTCGCGGTATTATGTTACATTTTGTTTTTCCAGTTGATAAAATGGTGCTACGTTTATCATATGAGAAAATATCGGAGAAGGAAATGCTTTTATGTTTGAAAGTACTTGAACGATGTTTTAGAGTACTGGAATCGGTGCGTTTATGAATGTAATCAATACCAGACTCTTGACAAGAAATATTTTTGCTTACCAGCCATCAGAAGTATAGAATGATTACGTGTTATTTAGACATTCAGGCTGAAATATGTAATCATATTTGTTTTTACAGGCTACAGTCTGTAATGAGAAGAATGGAGCATATCTAATCAGTCATCGTGGTAGCTCTCTCGTACATTCTTGTGGAAGGTCTGTGAAACTAGAGTTATAATAAATCCTGACTTTTTAGTGGAGCTTATGTTGTGGAACCATATTAGACATGGTTTTGTTACTTTTGGTAGCAAAAAACGTATTAGAAAAAATCGCAGATCAAATGTAATATTAGCTTTCTTATAATGTTCTTGTTTTTGATCTACTTTTCAAGTAAATTTCTCTGAAAGTAAAATTTTAGGCTTATAGTGTTGTTGTATCATGGATTAGAACGTTTAGGAGATAGTGCAGATGAATTAAAGGAGCAAAATATTACATGCTTAAATCGAATGGTTGGAGTATTGATGAGTTTATCGTACGAGAATGGTATTCTTCTCATTTTAAGATATTTTAGTTTTATTATATTATTGGTGTGTTATTTTGGACGCAGTGATATTTAGAAACCGAAATTGCAGAACTATGTAGCTCGAAACTTGGCCAAATAAATGATTTTCTTTTACTCTGCGTTTCCTGCTTCACCTGCTTGGTGCCAAAATATGTTCGTAAAGAGAAGCAATTTGATCTCATTGTAATGGTTAGTTTTCCTTTAATTTTTTTTTTCAGTGCTAGAATGAACTGAAAACTTTTGATGATGCAGTCTTTTTCAGCTTTGTAGTCTGTTAGTCAATCTTCTTGAGCGATGTAATTCCAATAGACGGAAGGTTATTGCGCTGACAGTTCCAGTTTATGATTCTGTGTGTCAAATCGAGAAACAGGAGCCAACACTGAAAGCCCTTTCACAGGTCTTTATGTTTTATGGAGGAAATCCGATTCCTTGATTTGACAGTAGTAAATTTCAGTATCACTACCTTGCTAAAGAGAAATAAAAATAAGACATTTTCATTCCCTATAACTTTCAATGTTAATGTTTCATATTAAAATAATGATGCTCAGCTTTTTGCTCATCATGAATCTTTGGCACGTTCAATCGATGAGGAATTAGATAACGATCTCGTAATTGAAGATGCGCCTACTGATGATACTGATGAAGGAGCAAGAGGTAAATTGTTATTTATAATGGAAAATTTTGTTTTGGAAACATGAGTTACTTCAACAAATGAAGCTGATTGCACTGCTTTGTAGAGGATGCTGTAAGTGATGGGCGTTTGCATCGACTTCCTGCAGAATTATCGGAAGATGAAATGGTGGAGACTGTTCAGAATGCGATGAATAAGGCTAGTACACATATGGAAGATTCGGTTCTAGCATCATATTTTGCACTTTTAATCGGATGTTTGCTTCTACAAAATGAGGTTTATTTCTTTTAATACTTGGAAAAATATTTTCATAAATATGGATGCATAATCTCACAGGATTGTGTATTTACAGGAGTGGGTGGACACTGTAAAAACTGAAATGAAAAATGGAAAGTTAATTCCGCTCATCGAACAGCTTCAGCGTTTTTTAGATTTCATTAAATTGACAGTGAGTTTTGAATTTGTCAGTTTTAGATATTGATTCATAAAGTAATATTCATTAGAGTTTACAGGGACTTTATTCGTAGCTAAGATTTGTTTTTCTTGGGTATTTTTTGAGTGGTTAAATTTCAGGATGGAAAGAAATCACACGTCCGTTTCATGGAACGCATTATTGATTTGTTAGATACATTGGACAATTAATACATATTTCGGTGTTTTGGAAGTATATGTAAGTGGTAACTAACCATTCATATATTCTTATGTACATTGAATCGCCGCTTCATGAAGATCTTCGACGTCGTTAAATTAAGAGTCGGTGTGAATGCTGCCCTAGTGTTTTTCTACATTGGAATTTCCATTACTAATGGAAATGAAGATTGAACTTACTGGACTGCAGCTGTATTCAACCGAAACTTTTCTCTGGGTATGATGACTCGGAGCGGTGTATCTGAGAGCAACTGGGATAGCAAAATCAGCTCTGGAACTCACGATTTAAAGAGATTCGAATTTTGTTGCATGTTATTAAGTATCGGTTTCAGCGGAATGATTAGAAAATCTACACTTCTGCAACAACTATTTCATACCGTTTAAGATTGCTTGTCTTCATTTTGTAAAAGTTCGCTCTTCCGCACAATTTATTAAACATGTCGAATTGTTAATTCAGTAAGGTAAAAGACATTGTTTCTATCGCTTTATGTACGCAAATGATGTTGACTCACTATTTTTTCGCTTTTTTATCCAATTTACATCCTTCTCCCAAATGAGACTCGTTAATAAATATATCGCATACATTTGGGCCTTACAAATAGACTTTGTGTTACTGGAAAATTCGAGGCGAAAACCGATAGAATATCTTCTGCAATGACACTCACTTCAGAGTTAGTTCACATAGTTTTTCGACAAAACTTCAACTAGGTCTTTTTGAAGACGTAGTATACATCTGAACGAATGCTGACTCATGACGACTGGTACCTTCTGGCCTTTACACTTGGACTTATTTTTTAATTAGATGACTAGTGAGCTAGAGAAGACGTGATGTACGTTCTACAGTTTCGGATATCGCCGATTAATTGCTGAAGTCATGAATTTGATTTGAGACAATGATGGAGAGAGAAATGTTCAAAATACACCTATTCTGAGCAATAGTAAGGACCCATATTATTGTCAAGAACACTTAATTAAGATAGACTGCAAAATGATTTCCAAAAGAGTCAATATGAGGAATACAGATCGTACTGAAAGAATTTCACAGTCATCATAAAGCAGAAGGGAATGCAGGTAAGAAATAAATATGCGTGTTTTAGGGGATTCATAAGTGACTGGATTTACTTTCGAAAACAAAGTGAAACTTCCAACTCGACGTAAGCGAGATGTCTTCTGCTGCTTATGAGCTTACCTCGAGAACTGAAGTCCGCGACTTACTATTCTACTACTGTTAAGTAAAATTTGTTTTAGAAAGTTGCTTTCGAAGCCAATTAGGAATAGGCAAATTACTGCGTAATAGCAACTTATGTAGAGCAATATTGTCGTCTCTGAAAATCAGGTCCAATTTTTCCTTGAGTTTTTTATTGAGTGGTTTATATTTGCGTCCTTTGCTGGTTCCCAAGCACTTTTTTGTTCCTACAAAAAAGTCGAAATTACGAGCAAAGTAACATTGAAGTTTCGAAAGTTTACAGTCTAATATTAACAACAATATACTTGATCGAGGAATTTCAGTTTCAAGTAAAATACTATTAGAAGAAACAGATTCATACCGTTTATATAGCTACAAAAAAATCCTTTTTTATCGTCAAATTTGATGAGATCATTGAAGGGGAATTCCTGTGCATGAAGACTATTAACTAATTGAGAAATGACTGCAGCTGGATTAGTTCGGAGTTGTTCACCGTCAAGTAAATGAATTTGGGTCGAAGAATAATAATCTAACCAGTGCTCCAGATGGTGTGCATACCTGACTTGAAGATTAATGTCAACTTTTTTGCTTATCTTACTGAAACTCGAGAGCAGCACAAGACTAACTGTAAGAAGATTTGAATTTTTGTAAAAATCAATAACCTTCCTGGTGAAATGCAACGATTTCTGAAGTGTCGTAAATTTGAAGAATTTGAACTTAATATTTTATCCAGTCCGTAAGATACAGCTATACTATCGTTGTGTGCACGCATATGTTGGTACCACGAATATGCTCGTACTGCAGGATCCAGCAAAATTATCTGAGAGAAATAAATGCATTAAGTTTGTGATAGATTTCATAGAACTGTAAACATGCATAACAATGACGATGATAGTTTGTTAAGGTAGGTTTAGCAATGTGAGAAAGTCGTCTATCACTTACAATAATTTCTGCTTTTGGCAATAAAGCAGCCGTTGTACGTGGAGCATCAATGTTATCGAAGTAAGTAGCACTTTTCTCAAAAACAATACGATGATCAATTTTTGAACGAAATTGATCCATGTACCTGCAAAGATTATCTGAGTTCGGACTACTTAAGGAAGTCGCTGAGTGAAAATAACAAATTTAAATAAACCACACCAGAGTAATCCTCGGGCATAATTTGGACCACCAAAGAACTGAAGCTCCTCAAATGAAGAAGCGATTGGGTCGTTAGTAGAAAAATCTGGATGCAAATTCAAGAATGTAGCAAGAGCAGTTGAACCAGTTTTTTGCGGTCCTACAATCAGCATATTTGGGAGTGGCATTTCAGAACAGTTGAACGCTTGTGGAAGAATTTTTCTGTGCCGCAAATCAGCGCACGGATTCTGCAATATTATTGACAAAGATTACATTAATGATTTTGACATTGCAGTAGTAATAAAGAAGAGACCTGCTCCAAAATGAACAGATTCGAAAAGAGAAAACCGATAAGAAGAAAGTCTTACCTCCATGAAATCAATTTACAGATAAATAAAGAAATCTTACAGAACCTTATTCAAGTATAACAGCTGTAATATACCACAGAAACTTACCTTCCATATTGGAGATTTTTCAGTACTATAACGCGTGAAATAAGCAGAAGCAGTCCGCTTTGGTTCCATCCACAACAACTGTAAATTCGTCCAACATTTAATAAAATCTACAACCCGTTCGAAAGAAAAGATGCCAAGTCGATCATTTGCGTAATTTTGCTGATGAGTCATAAAGATCGAAAACTAAAAATCCATAAATTACTACGTTTCTTGGGATTATAAAGGATAATCAATTGCAGCCATGGAAAAAGGACTATGATTCATACAAAGTACTAAAATAAAGGAAAAGTATCAGAAAAACCGCTCACTGGGTTGGTCAAGATCGTGAAGAATAAGTCACCACCTTCAATGTTACTCAATAATTTTTCAAAACCATCAGGATATGAATGAAAGAACTGTGTATGGGTGTAAAGACCACATGTCTGACGCGGCAGAACCTCAAATTTACTTTCTGAACCAAATTAAAAAACTGCTACTTCACAATAAAATAAAATTTTCAACAGAATTTTAATAGGACAGTTTTGATGCAATACAAAAATAATACTCTTCCTTTAATATCATTTTTCAAAACCAAAATTACTGAAATATTTTTGTGTATGAAGCCCCGACGTATTGAAGCTGGACGAAAATGTGGATATTCTTCAGTTGACGTTACACTAATATTCCAAACTAAATGCCACGCATTGTATAACGCTTCATGCACTGGATAAACACCAGCATGCTGCGGTGATACGGCATAGCCTGAATCTACACGTAAACCCATGCCCTATAAAAATTTATACATTATATTAGCAGGAAAAAATAGTAATTAGTTGCTACTTGTGATAGCAAATAAACTCAGCGCAAGTCAAATTAATCAGCATATAAAGATACGTCAGACGCAATTGAAAATAAACATACTTGTGCAAAAAGTTTATTTTGAATCATGATAGCTTCTAGATATGTTTGATTATGTTCATGTGCATGGTTGTGTTTCCACATGTGAGGAAACCACAAGAAATTTTCACCATTTTCTAAAAACAAAACTTCATATTGACATAGGATATGAATTTGAATGGCAATTTTGAACAATTACCTATTATCCATTGGTCACCTTCATCTTCAAGAGAATCTCCGCTTCGAAAATAAAAACCGGAAAATCCTAAACAGAAAGTGAAATTCCTTATGTTTTGGCGTAAACGAAGTTGCGATTTCAACAAGGCATCTACATCTGTTTTAGTCATCCGTGTTCCACTTGTACCAACAAATATATCATCAATATCAATTTGTATATACCGCTTCAAGTCTTTGTTTACTAGTGAATCTCGCAAATATCTATAAAAACTATGCTACATAAGTAACTTAATATTTCCTGTTTAAGTGAAAATTGTTCACTCTAATGAAGACTTAGTGAAAAGTACGGCGAAAAAATTTTTAAACCAAACCCTAAAGAATCAATGAAAGCTATTTTGTTAGTCCAGTGAGTGAAATTATGCCCAAAGAGAATCCTTTCGATTCCATCTTCTAAGCCTTCATCCAATATCACAGTAGCTCGTTCCTGCCCAAAAATATCATCAGCAAGTATTATAGCTTCATAACCTGAAAACTTTTCACATTCTTTTCAAATCTAACATAAATAAGTAAAATCGAAACTTTGCATTAACTAATCCAGTTTTCTGAATACTTAAACGTGGAAATCAGTGAATAGATAAATTACCTACCTTCAGCAATGTCGAATAGAACCCAGTCATCTTTATCTGGCTGCGGTGCTTGTAATACAGCTCCGGGCTTGGCAATGTGATTAACACGCGAACGCTGACTAAATCGAAGATTTGCAGCACGCTGCTGCGTATGAATAGTCAAACGTGAACCTTTTACCTTGGCACTTATATAATTGCTTGGTCGATTACCAATAAATGATACAATGCCCACGCCATATACTCGACAATATTTATCAAGAAGTTGCCGATTCCAAGCTGGTAGGTTTAAATACTTGTAATAATTCTCGATAATAATGACCGAAAAGCGACCACGCTTAGCGGTCGTTAAGAGAGGAAGATTTCTTGTAAGCGTTTCAACTTTGTGAGATATTTTAAGCGCATCTAAAATGTTAATGATTTGTCTTCCAAGCTTGGAATATAATGTTTCCACAAAAACTAGCACTTTTGCATCAGTTTGAAAACTTGACCGTTTTCTCGAAAACTGATTATTTTCACGAGCTACAACTGTACTATTCAGTAATGGACAACGATACGGTGGTATACGCTGAGGTGGATATCTGTAAAGCCAATGTTATAATGATAATAATAATAAGTTATGAACAAACAATGCGTGAATTATGAACAAATAACGACGTAAATCTACATGTAATAACGTACAGTCTCAATACATACCTCATGTATAAATGACACGCAAGCAAGCGTGGTCATGAAATGCAGTAATAACTCATACTACCGTGGTTATGATCGTCTCAATATCTAACTACCCATAAATGCTGAATATCACTTTCTATTTGATTACTTCTGACCAAAAACATTTTACCTGTGCCGATGTTTCTCAGTTATATCAGAAAGATGAGTAGATAGTAAAATAAATGTTAAGCATGTGATTAGAATCGTTATTTTTAACCACAAAATAATTTGTCGTACAGGCAGTGTCAACATTTCTCCAGTAGCTACGTTCTCAACCCATGTTGCTACATTTAGACATGCGCAAGAGTTACTCAATCAGTATGCCATCTAAACTATTTATATACATTAAATTATATATATATATATATATATAT